TTTTTAAAAAATGTGTGTTTGAGGTGATAATACTAATATCAATTAGAGTTTATGCTGAGTTGGCTTTTAAGTGTAAGAAAAGCCGATATATATCTTGAGTCTTGACTAGTTAGAGCTAAAAGCCTAAGGAAAATGCTTTTGATTTCATCATCATATGCCTTTTAGCAGATTTCATGGGGTAATTATGTATCAATGTATCATACCTCTAAAATATACAATTATTATGAAAAACAAATTTCTGTTGAACTTATTATAGATTATCGATCAAATCTTCAATCATTTTTTCGGTGGCTCAAGTACACTAGAAGAATTTTTTTTCCTTCGTTTGACGTGCATACAATAGTTAGATTCTTGACAAAATTGAAAAACTCCCTTAAAATTTAGCAATTTTTATGAACAAAAATAGTTAATAAAGAATTTGAACTTAATTAAATTTTATCAAATTCAACAAAAGCATAGTATATTTGATTAATTAATCATTCAGTGTATTCCCTATTGAGACACGCAAGGATGTACTGTATAAAAGTTACAAACCGTTACAATCTCATAAAGTCATAAGACGTCAATCTTTATTCGAATCTAATACTATGTAAAATCCAATCGATCGAAAGAATGTCTTGAAACTCATGATATTGTTTGATAGAATTGATTAATACGGGATGCCCCTTCTATCACAGAAGGGGAGGGATGGGGATCGAACCCTGGTCACAGGGGGAGGAGATAGTGGGACTCACCATCCCTCAGATCAACTCCTTGATCCTCATGGCTCGTCTAGGTCAACAAGATGTAATGAACTTAAATTAGGTAATTTAAGTGAAAAGAATAAACAAAGCCTTAAATGTTTTCGTGATTTGACTTTGTCATTTTCACCATGTGATATGCTCAGAGTCTTTAGTCTTATACCAAGAATTAATTAGTTAATTATTTTTTTTTTGAAAGAAATTAGTTAATTAATTAATCATATTAGTCTCTTCACAAAGAATTTAATTAGCTCACAATCCAGATGCATGCATGCTAATAATTACAACCCTGAATTGTCTTGCAATATAAGATACTCCAAAGTCTAAAAACTAATCTTAATTATCTAGCTAGGCAAATGGGCAATAGTAGACAGTATTAATAACCTTATTAGAGTTCATATTATTGGGCAGAAACTTCAAAAGAATTTAATTGCATATTGGTCCCACATGTCATATATATGAATGATAAGTTTGATCTAAAAATTACTTTACCTGTTTTAATTAATAGCTGATGTGCTGATTATGACTATTAACCAAACTAATTATCTGCATGCAGCTGTGTTTTGTATGTGAACATAATTGCTGGTTTTTAATTAATTAACGCGGAGGGTTAATTTAAAGCAACATAAACAGTATAATGTAATCAAATAAAAATGAATGGCGATAATACATTTAAATTGCGGCTATGAACTTGCATATTATGTGGGATACATGTCATTGAGCTTATCATGCAGCAATGCAGCATAGTTTAATTTGTTGTGCTTAAAGTCTAAAGGATGGCATCAATTTGATTCTCTAAAGCATGTTGCATGAATTGAGCTAGATATCTCTATTAATAATTGAGTGATATTCATATGTACATCACTTTCATTTTGTAGTCTTTATCATCTTAAAGTTATCAAATTAGAGGTGTTTAACAATAGCCTAGCTTGAGAAAAGTACGGGTTTTGACCATATTAAAAGTATATATTTAGACCAAAACCCGAGATTAGCCCAAAAAGCTCGATTAATTTCGACAACTCCGTCATTATTGTGAGTTTGGGTATAAAATTTTATAATATGGCGGACCTAACTAGATCAAATCAATTAATTCAATCTAACCAAAGATATTTAATTTTGGTTTAAACTCTTAGATTAATCTTAAGTTATTTCAAACTTATCATAAAAACAGAGGAAGTAATCCATATATTTAAGTAGGTTCAGATACTATTCCCAATTAGTAGTTGCAAGGAATCCAATTCCACAATCCACACTGGAAATGCACATGACAATCTTTCTCTACTCGATCGATCCTAAGGCTTTCCCTTAGTTGTGAGTGTTGGTACCCCACATTATTAGTATTACACCATCTCATCTTTAACTAACCAACTGTATGCTTTCTTTCTTTGTTTCTCAATCCTTCTCTATTCTCACCCCCCTCTTTCCTCTTTTTTCATTGGAAGTTGCTTACTTTTTTAATCAATATCTTAACTACCTACCACCTTTTCTTATCAATAGCTTATTATTAAGAATAATAATTACTAATTACGGAGTAACAATTATGCATGCCTATGTAGCTAGTTATATTACTTGATCATATCCTTAAATAATTCCTGGCTACATTTCATTCTGCGTAAGACAATACACTTTATCTCGACACGCAAATAAGTTCAGGTTGTTCCTCGTTATTATTTATTACATTAGGCTGATTATCAATTATGCATGCCTAATAAATAACCATGCCCTTAAATAATACTTGACCGCATTTCATTTTCCATAACCCAATACTTCATCATTACAAAACACAAGTCATTTCAACTTGTTCTTCATTACTCGTACTGTTTGTTACTATAATCATGCAACATGTACAATAATAAAATACATATGGGCTTAAAGTCTCAAATGATCGATATTAGGTATCTTCAAAGTTACATAATTATGAGAGGAATTAACAATAATAACTTGTACTTAGGAATAATATCACTAATTAAAGTGAGAAGGTATAAAGTTAGGTAGAGAATAAGAGAAAGACCTGCCATTGTTTGTGTAAAAAAACAGATAAATAAATTTATATAATAAGATTTGAATATTTGATGCATGTGGGATTATATAGTAGGCAGATGAGATAGATAGAATTGAAGCCATAATTCTTATAAAGTTTGGTAAACAGACAGTTTTGATCAGAATTTGCTGGACCTTCTCTGTCAATATTATTATTGCTTTATTTTCATTTTTTTGGGAGTTTACTGATGGAATTACTAGTTGATTAATTAATGCAAGAATAATTAAGATTGATCAAACTAACTATAGACAACATAGGCACTAAACTCGATGTCAAGTGTCTGACTTTCTTCAATCATTTATTGTCAACTTTTTTGTTCTGTGAGTACTAAACTCTACAGGTTCGAAATTTATTAGGCCACTTATTAGTCGCTTAAATTTAATGTAGAGATAATACAGAGTAATACTCCCTCCGTCCCTTTATTAGAAGTATATTTCTAATATTTATTACTCACATAATAAAGAGAAATAGACTTTTAATTTAGGGACGGAGGGAGTACTTTGTCTTATTAAACATAGGGTTATGCCATTAATAGCATGTTTGTTAGGTGGTAATAAATGATACTCCGTATGAAGTATATTAGACTTGTTAGCGCGAGTTTATATTATTTTTATAAATGTGTAGAGAGTCTCATAATGCAATGTTTATATATAGTAATCATACCTTGTTCACGTGCATTGATATGATGTCTACCCTTTATAATCAAAAATTTTAATTAGAAAGACAGACTATTCAAATTAGTGGGTGCGTATTAAAGATCGATGCTCGTTTTATTTGGTCAGCTATGATCGGAAAAAACTTTCATACCTATGGTTCCAAATGAAATTCCGATGAAATTTATTACTCTGTATTTTATATGAAAAAAATATTTTATTAATCATTCATATATACTTTGTATATTTCCAATTGATCATGACCGTGAAGTTCGTGATGATTAATTTTTTATTTTTAAAAATCAAAATCAAAATTGAATAAGCAACCGAAGCACACAATAATGCATAAGGTTACCAATTACACGGGAAATTCCAAATCCAAAACCCACAGAAGTAAAATATTGATAGGTGCAACCCTAATAAATTAATAATTGAATAATTCAAATAGTGTATTATTCACGCACGGTTGCTCTAATAAATAACCCCGTGTATAGAGTTAATAAACTATGGGACAAGAACATCCTAAAGTAGTAGTCATATTTATAACGGCATTTAACCTTATAGAATACACAAGTGTTACAACACAATAATTAGTATTTGGGCCCTAACAAATATTCGGGTTATTACATGAAATTAACAATGTAAATGTAATTTACGACTCAATTATTTAATTTTGTTGAATCAGCATAATCAGTTATCTTACGAGTACTTATCTATTTATGGATAAATATCTACCGTAGCTAAAAAGTAGTACTTCTGTTACCTTCTTTTTTTGGGCGAAAACTAGTTACTGTACAAAAGTTAATACTGTAATAATATTGAACTCATTTCTAGTCATTTGGGTCAAGATTATCCTTAAGCCAGATATATATGTTGTCTTTTTGGTGAATACCCTTCTAATAAGTGATTTTATTTTTCTGCTATACAGTCTTATACAGTATCAAAAATTAGTGTAAAATAAGATATGATTTATAATTTTTAAAAAGGTTTTAGAAACTTAAAATCATTAATATAGACTATAGAATACAAAACTACACAATATATAATATACGTATTACGTAATGTATAATAAATCGAACTTTACATATATTGCCAATCGATCACTAGCATGTTTAATTAAAAAAAATATGACCGATCATAAAACTAATGGTTTTAGTGCGTAATTAAACATACTAAAATTGGCAATACTATTCAATACTTCACGGCCAAACATTGGCGATCTTACAACGGCCAAACATGCAATCGAATCTCAATTAACAGTAACAATACATGTTCTCGATTCGATAGTAGTTGAAATGTCTATGGATCAATTCCATGTCACACAAAAGATACAATGTTGTGACTTATGAGCATTGTTTTCGAAAGAACATTATTGACATATGAAAAAACATGAGCGTTATTGCTCTTAATGCTTACACAGTGACATAGACTCAATCAAACATTAAGAACAATAGTTCAATCACAATATAGATCGAAAATATCGATTTGACATGCAAATCCCTACATCAACAACAATTTATATGTGTGGATAAGATGAAAACAAATTTTAAGAAAAACACAAAGATGTGAGAGAATAAAAGATTTTCTTGAATTCCCATTGTGATAAGACAAAAGATAAAAATCAAAAGATTTGGGACCCCTCAATTTAATACAATTTGGTAGGGGGAGTTAGTGAAAGCATTTATACCAAAACCTAAAAATTAAAAAGAAAAAGGGGTACCCTATTAATTCAATTCAATTTCTATGAACCCAACGGCCCAATGTACCTAGAATAAAAATACCCACTTTTTGTCTCACAATTACTACAACCTCCTCCATTATTTTTAACTATACCATTGATTTGAAACCCTAATTCACAACACGAACATTTTGTTTCCCCATTTTGCCCTTTATAAAAGAACTCAAACGGGCCCGGAATCGGGCTTGGGCTCGGGCCTGGACCCGCCGCATTCGACTCCGCGCTACTCGCGGTAGAATAACGGGCCTCACCCTGAAACTGTGTAAGCCCGATCGTCAACTCCAGATCAATTCCATCCTGACCCAATCGGGCCTGACCCGAACCCGAAACCCGACCCGTTGCCCCGTCATCCGTGGTGGTACCACTGTTGCAAGAATCACTCTTCTTCACCAAATTGGAATCAATCACGGCAAAATCTGGGCAAGGGTAACCTTTCTCGAAGTCAATCGTGTTAGAAATCCTTCCGAATTGCGTGATTATTGGCGGGTTTTTCGTCGCGTTAAAACCCAGAATTTCCGGCGAGTTTTTCACAGGCACGGTGGTTGTTGCGGCGGCAGCGCCACTGTCAACGGCGGCGTTGGAGTTTAATGGACGGTGGGTAATCGGGTCAAGGCCCCGGCTAATAAGCTTACGCTTAATATGGGTATTCCAGTAATTTTTAATCTCGTTATCTGTTCGTCCTGGTAATCTGCCAGCAATTAGGGACCACCTGTCACATAATAATTAAATTAAATATTGTTAGTTATTTATCCAAACAAAAAATTATTGATAATCTTAATTTTGGAGTTGAATTTGATTAAATTATGGTAGTGGAATTATTACTTATTGCCAAGCAAACTATGAAGTTTAATGATGAGTTCATCTTCTTCTTCAGTAAAATTGCCACGTTTTAGGTCGGGTCGAAGGTAATTTATCCACCGTAACCTGCAACTTTTACCGCATCTAAGCAAACCTGAAATAATAAAAATAATTCAATTCAGGGCTGTTTGTTACCATTTAAAAAAAAAAAAATCCCAAAATAGTTTTCAGTTTTCTGTTGTCAATGATGGATAGAAAGGGATGTAGACGTACCGGCGGCTTTGGGGAGAGAGCGCCAACAGCCTTCGCCGTGGAGACGGATATAATGGATGAGACGTTGATCTTCTTCTTTGGTCCAAGCACCTTTGTTAGTGTGAGCTTTCTCACAACAAGGGGAGCGTCCCATATTTTATGTTTGTTATCGGTTTGTACGGTGTTTGTTTGTATTTTTAGTTTCTAATATAAATTGGTGGGGAGAAGAAAGGGAAAGAAAAAGAGAGGGATTTATATAGTGAGGAAAGAGAGAGGGAGTAACAAATGGGAGATGATTGGAGGGTTACCCTATAGACTCGATCTTTAGGTATTTGACCACTTTTTGGTAATAAAATTATCTTTTATTTTTTGGAAAATAAAATATATTTAATGGTTAATAAAACAACAAGAAGTAAAAGTAAAACAGTAAAAAATATAAATAAGGAAAGTAAAAAAAAGGGGGGGGGGGATTTAGTAGGTAGGTCTAGTTTTACGTTGGATATGGACAAGTGGGGCACCAATTTAATGAAGTACTATTGTTGTAGTTAAATTATTGTTGTTAATTGTAGTTAGTTGGTTAATTAAATAGAGAATAATGTATAATGTATGTTAAGGTAAGGTAAGAGAGAGAAAAAGGAGAGAGAGTCACATGTAAGATATAAAGATGCAGTGAGTGCATGTGGCATGAAGGTTGTCCCACAAGTTAGGGGGCACGTGGTATTTATGTGTTTGGTCATCCTATCTTCTTTTGCTTCTTCCTTCCATCTCTATTACTCTAATCATAACATTATCATATTGCTTAAATATATGAAGTATATTATAACCCTCTTATGGAAATTATATTATACTTTTCCTACATTATGATAATTGATAAATACTTGCATCATTTATTTAATTTTGTAGGTGAATTGCATGATTCAATTGATCTAATAACAACTTTAATGACAACTAATAAATTAGCTTACCATGCCACATAGAATTTTAAAACTAATCTTCCTTCTAGCGAATTTATACCCCATATGTTCGTAATGCCCTAAGAGGCTAAGAATTGATATGGATTTGCTGTAATATAATATTTTAATTCATAACCTTGTAATAATATATCGAGCTACTTTTATTCTAATTTAGAATTAAATAGACTTTATGAAATATGATTGTGTGAATTATTTTATAACATTTCAAATTGCATACTTTTTGAATTTTCCTAATTTGCAAAACACGCATTAAACTATGGATGTATCCTTGGCTATGTAATATCTCAAATATGAGGATTACAAAGATATATTTTAAAATAAAATATTTGTTCTTTTTATAGTGTTAAATATTATATTAAGGGTAATGCTATATGCAACCCTTATAAGCATTTAATATACTTCCTTTTTTTAGTATTATTTTGGAAATTTATCGACAATTCACGAGTAAATTGGTGTAATAAATGTTAATTTAATGTCTATTCTTTTCATTTTTAATTTCTTATATGCAGTCGTAAGGGCTGCTTATAATTTTTTCCTTATATTAAATACATGTCAAAATAAAAAAATTTTGACCTGAAAAGTTGGATTGAAGCATGCAACTAGATAAAGATGAACCTCTTTTTAAAAGAAAAGGAAGTAGATAGTTTAACTCATCGATCTTTGTATAACGAAAACTATAAAACGCAAACCATGTACATGTGAAACAAGGTCTTAAATGGTAGCAAGACTATACCAACACAACTTCTCAATTGAGTATAATAGTGTTATATCATCAATTTGATCAATGATGTTTGGAGATGCTTCCAAAGTCAAAAAGACAATGCAAAAATTCCACAAAGTAACCGATTGCTAATTGATGGCGATTAAATTTTTTTTTAGCATAGTTGCACAAGAAACGAAGAATTCTTTCTTCAATCAAGTGGTATACAACAATACATATACACCCGCCGTTTTATGAATCCTAACGAAGATAAGTTAGTTCATACTTTATATCATAGAGCACCAATTCGTATGGAGTCAAAATTTAACATTAACTTATCTTTTTAAAAATTATCAATTTGTTAAACATTACTTTATACACAAATATTTATATTTGGCTGGCCATACTGTGTGGTCGGGGTTACTCGGTCATAAATTACTTGAGGGGTTCGATCAGGGGTTATTCGGCCAGGGGTTTACTTGAGGAGTTTGGTCAAGGGCTACTCGGTCATAGGTTACTTGTGGGGTTACTCGACCAGGGGTTACTTGTGGGGTTACTCGACCAGGGGTTACTTGAGAGATTACTTGGTCAGGGGTTACTTAATCAGAGGTTACTCGAGGGGTTAATCGGTCAGGAGTAACTCAAGTAACCCCTGACCGAGTAACTCGAGTAACCCCGACCACACGGAAAAATCCTCCTACTTCGTATCATTGTATCTTTTACACTTCTTATTATTCAACATAATAAAACTGATAAAACACTAAACACAAGTACAACTAATCGTTTCATGAATACTAAAAAAATGTAATTTATTCAAACTCCATGTTATACATAGTCTATACAACATGAAGTTAAATTTTTACATTCGTATTTATAAAAAATACTTTAAAAAAAAAACAAAAAATACATTGGTTGCAAAAAAAAATCTAGAAGTTTTTTTTTATGTCACAAAAAAGTTATTAAGATGTCCCTAAAATAGAAAGAACCAACTTTAACAATAAACACAACTATACCTAAATAAAGGGAAGTACGTAGTATTAAAGGCAATCTTACACCAAATTTTACCAACCTTAAACAGTGCCGATATAAAATGGAAAAAGTACCAACAAATTCTTTAATATACAATAAAGGACAAAAAAAAGGTTAGATCAAGAGTCTATTCTCCACATTAAAAAAAAAAAAATAAGAACAAAATATTGGGTTAAAAATTATTAATATTTCCGGAAAATGGTTACTCACTAGAAAGTTAAGTCAAATAGAGATTATAAAAGACATAGGATAACGGACATAAATATTAGTAAAAGTCAAAAAAACAACCCAAATATTAGTAGTTAATCAACGTTATTTGGAGAAAGTCAAAAAAACAACCCAAAAACAGGGAGATTGAACATAGTTTACACATTTTTTTTAGATGACATCCACTGGGTTGGTAACCCACCTCTCTTTAGCCAAGTGATAGTCATCCTTTTTTTCAGGAATTCCAAATAGCTAGATCAACTCTCTATTATCAATCAATTTTATCTTTAAATACGCGATAGGTACCTAGTTTATAACTGTTATGTTAAATTTAATTTTCGAGTAACAGCTTCTTATATTGAAGGGAATAAAAAAATTTGATTGGTAGAACATTGAACTACTTTGGATTATACTCCGTATAATCTAATCAATGATTTCAACTGTATAATATTTTAAAACTATGATATTTCATCCTATTTTAAATTAACTGACATATTTGGCTATTTGCATTACCAGAATAGATTTCTTTAATCAATGTATATAAAAACAAGTGTAAAAATGTGAACAGTTTTAATATCAACGTATATTTTCATAAAATCAACATTTTATAATTTTTTAAATAATTAATTACAAATATAAATGGCTAAACTTGTACAGTATACTACAAGTGTCCATTCAAATTGTATCAATAATTTTGAAATGAAAAGAATACTTATTTTGTAGGTATGGTATTTTTCTTGGACCTACCTTGTTATCCCCTATAATAAGATAATAACTCACATATTTAAAGCATAGTAAAGCCAGGAATAATGAAGGGGTAAAAACAAATAGTACTGTTGTTAACCCCACTTATTAATATTAAAAAAATAAATAAAAATGGGGTCATTAGGTGTATTATTAGTAGAAGTATATTTTCAATGACAGTTATTGGGCTATAATGATATAATTCTGTTAAGCACCGAATAATGTCAGAGTCATGGCTTTTTCTGAGATTCCATCTCACCAAAATCCAAAAAGTTCATGGAAAGGAGACAATCTTCTACGAACATTTGACTTATTTTTACAATGGAGAATCATGGTAGATTAAAAGTAGATAACTTTTCAAACAAACATAAATTTGAATTAATTAATAAATTAATTAATTTACATTGTAGCAGCTCGAATTTTACAAGGAATAATTCGAATTCTGGCACCTATATATCAAAGAATCAGTAGCTAATTTCTCATCTGAACTAAAGCAATTAGGTAACTTAGTTTAGTAAATTGAATGAAATTACTCTGCTAAAAATATTAACTATGTATCGAACCATATACAAAAAAGTATGGCGATCAATTTGAATTCTTGGTAGAGTTGTAACTTGTAAGAATTCGTGTGGGTCAAAAAATTTCAAGATAAACTAAGCGTACCATTTCCGTGCATTGCATTTGTATCAGCCTCCTGACACATACAATCTGGCATGGGGAATGTGTAGAGTGATGCCGAAGGTTTTTTCATCTCACACCCCTTCGAATCACTACGGTTGAGCATATCTTGCATCTGGTACTGAAAAGTTTCCCATCTGCATTAACATATTAAGTAGCATGTAAGCAAGCCAATTAAAAAATGATGCATCATGTGATAACTGTAAGAAAGTTCAGTTCATCAATCCTGTTTTTTGAACATTGTGGATTACTTTAAATGCCAAGAAGAACATTACGGATTAGTTTAAATGCCAATAAGAGAGAATTCTGATCCTGAGTCCATTAACTCAGTTCCAAAGTCAGTGTCTTCCTTTCTTTTATCATCTAACTATAACTTCAGGTTTAGAAAATATTTGCCTTTTTAGCTTCTGAATAACAGTAAAAGCTTTTTACTTATATAGAAACTCCACCTATGATCCGATTGTAAGTCTGTCACGACTGTATAGGATTATAAACGATAACAATGAGTTTCCGATTACCTAACATCAGGGTTGTCAAACAATAGAACTAATTTCCTTTTGTCAGGTATGATTGTCTTCGAATGCCCTCCATAGATATAACGCCGATGACCCATCAAAAAGTGGGGAAAATTTCCTCCTTGGGTAGTGATGAACACCTCGCTGTGAAGACAAACCGTATAATCAAGGGCAGCCAACCTGGACAAGTGGCCCTGCAATAAAAAGTTGTCATGCTTTCAACATGGCTATCCTAGCAGACAGATTTCATACAGTAGTACCATATTAGTACCTGAAATGGGGCAAGTTCCTCAGAGGTTGCTAACGTATCTTTTGTCTCCAAAAGTGGGAAAAGCTTTCTAAGAGGTGCCATGAACTTATCCTCTTTATAAATCATCCCAGCAGCAACATACACTACAGTAGTATTGTCAAAACCCATACCTCTAAGCATCATTCCTACCTGAGCAAGAAGAGAGTAATCACTTTTATATAAGGAAACATAGACTAAATTACAAATCATAATTCAAAAATTAGGGAGAGAAATTAACAAGAAAAAGAA